GGTAAAATAGGCGAATTTCCTTCTACAACTTCGGTTGTTGTTCATGATACAGTTAAGGCTTTAACAAAGTTCGAGCGATTACGTAATTAGCAAAAAAAAAGTTGAAATAAAGTGATTAAACAAAAATTATAACAAATATCGTAAATAATAAATGCATATATAGAGATATTTTTTGGAGGGGGGAAATGATCTTCACAATTTGAAATCGAATGAACACACTGTGCTCAAATGCTCGTGTAAACGCACACCATCTATCGTAGGGTAAATGCCAGAAACCTTCGCGGGAGTGTATTAAAAAAAAAAACTTCCCAAAGCTTCATGGCAATTGTACTATGCCACAAACCTTCGCTGGAGTATATTAAACAACTTCCCAAAGTTTCACGGCAATCGGATAAACGGTGTGGTAATGCATGAAGGACACACACACATACATTCATTTTTATATATATAGATTATTCACTGGCCTGTAAGCATTAATACAATTCAGTTCACTGGGCACAGCATTAATATCATCAATTAAACTATATTCCACAACCACAGTGCAATTATTGTATAGTAAATTATATCACATGCAAGCACATAGTGCACACTGTTCATGTCTAACGATTAAGATTGAATGATGATTGAAATTAATAAATCATCATACAGATATAAATAGAAATGAGGATAATACATATCTTATGTCTTTTAGAACAGCTTATTAATGCCAGGATTTATTGGCTTGGCCAAAACAAAACTGACATTTGTTCAGTAGAAAAAACCTTACAATAACGCCTGTCTAGAAGAGTGAACTCATTTCAAAAACTTATTTATATCTCTGTATTTCCATACTCTGTCCAGCAGTTAGGAAAGATTTAATGGAGTTACAGTTAAATGAAGAGATAGTGCAAAATAGTTTGAAGAACTAGAATGTCAAGACCCAATTCCTCTGTGAGGGGAAAGGAATGAATGCCAACAATGATTAAAATCAATTAAACAATTAAAAATATTATATACAGTGTGAGGCCCGAGTGATACTTGAGCTAACATGTTAAAAATATCATAAAGGTGTCAAATCAAGGAATCGGGCTTTGATTCTAATGTTCGTAAAAATTGGAAGAAAAACCTAAATAAAATCAGGAAATAATAAAATTATTAATCGAGAAAAAAAAAGTTTTTAAATAACCTTAAAAGGAGATGCAGCGCTGATATTTTGTCAGACTTATAAGAATTTGAAACAATTAAATACGAGCAGGAGTTTCAAGGTGCAATTAATTTCTCTTGATTGGATTAAAACACAGTATCAAATTAAACCTTTGGTAGCCTGAAATGGTCTGTCATCTGCTTAGATACAGGAAACCGACCAATCAAAAGCTAGAGATCCGGGGAAGCGAATATCTTAAAAAACTTGGATCTCAAAGACAAAGACAGACTTTTTCCATGCTTCTCCTAGTGAAGTTAACTGTAGAGACCTCTTCCAGATTTCTCCAGCCTCTGATAGTGTGAACCACTGTTCAGACTTTCCCCAGCTAACAACTGTAGTCAACTGTCCAGACTTTTCCCTGCCTCCATGAGTGAACACCATCCTGTTTGAACTTCGGGCTATCACCCTTCGTCACAACCTCCCACACCATTGAGCATCGACTGACTGCCCCGAGGCCAACAACTGAACAGTCCAGAGCCACCAGAAGACAAAAACACTCTAGATTGTAAGACTTAGTATAAATAAACGGGTTTGTTTGTCACTGTAGCTATTTGCCTCACTTTCCTTCATCCCACATATGATAAGTCCTGACATTTGGATACTGCCAATTCGGTGACCCTCACAACAGTAAAAGTTGTTAATCTGATACCATTTGAAATTAGGTGATTATACAGAATTGATTGATAATAATCTGGCAGGCCAGTATTCTGCAAATTGAAATTTATTTGGATGTGACTTCTAAAAACCGCAAATGAAAAATCCAGGCAAAGATGAGGTGCAGCAATGCACACTGCTACATGACAGGATAGCAACTATAGGATCAACAGCAATATGATAAAGAAAAAGGACTCAATTTGTTACAGTATCTTGTTTGTGTTGAATTGAATGCTTTCACTGGTACAAAATATACAGCATATCTGCAAAATTCAGATCACAAATAACCTATAAAATTTTGTACATGCAAATTTTTAAAATATGAATGTTGAAAATACAAAAATATCCGGTAATCAGACATTTTCAATAACTTGACACAACTCTGGTCCCATAGGTGCCAGATTAATAAACTTCTACTGTATATTATGCTGTATTTGATTCACAATTTTCAAATATACATTTTTAAGTTTCAAGCTGAATTTTTAAAGTGACTTCTGTTCCCCTCTCTAGTATATATATATAAAAAAATATAAAAATTTTATTAAAAATTACAAATCATACTTATCTGATACAATAATTTTTACATTTAATCTAATTAAAAAGAAATAAAAAGTTCCAAAATTATACAAGTTTTTTGAAATAAATTGAAAAAGTTTTATAAGAAAATAGTATAATTAAATTAATTAATAAAATTAATATTGAAACAAACCTTGTGAGCCATTACTCCATCTTTGTCATCTTCTGCCAATCGACGAATCAGTTCTAACAACTTTTCTCTTTGTTTTTTACTGGCATTTGCCCAACTAGACTGTATAAATATTAAAAATTACTTTCAATTATAATAATAGATAAACTCCTTATCAATTAAATAGTCATATATAACTGTTTAAGTAATAACAACTATTAATGCATTTTAGTCAATTTTATGCTAGTATGGCATTTCAGTTTACTATTATTTAATGATACTATTGAACTTATTTTAGCTAATTTTAATAAAAAAAAAATAGCCATTTGATTTATTTCATTTTGATGATATTATTATAACTAAGTGTTTTTGTGTGTTCATAATATGATAAACATACTAGTTATGTGCCAGATCGTTAAAAACATATCTGCAGATACGGATACAGATACAGATCATTAGTGTCTAGATCCGCGGATATGGATCTCAACTTTCGTACTCAGTCGGCGCCGGTGCATGTGACTTTGGACCAATAGTTAATGCTTTGCATTAGTAACGCGACATGTTTTAACTTGCACTGTGCATATTTTTGTTTATAGTTTAGTGTGACATGGGATAGCATAGATTACGTTTGCGTTTTTGGAGTGTTGAGTTAAATTAAAATAAAAACAATGTCAACAAAAAAGTTTAGTAGTGTAATATGGAAATATTTTACGATAGTAAATGATTTTTGCATGATAAAATTTTTGCAATATGAATGTGCCAAATATGTGATTTTAAAAAATAAAAAGTGATTTGAATTGAAGTTATTAGTATTTTATTGCTACCTATCTGTAAAATTTCATATAAGTAATGAAATTCATTAAGATAAAAGATCCGTTAAAGATCCGCTAAAAAGTAACGGATACAGATACCCGGCACATCACTAAAACATACATATACTTTGAATGAATGAAACTGTTTAACAGCTGACATAATGTGTGTTTCATTGTTTCTATTACAATGAAATTGTCTGATAGGTGATAAGCAAATTCGTGATAATTCTCTAGGTAAACAAAGTATACATCATCCATTTCATGTAACAGGATAGTTAGAACTTCATACTGATAGTGAAAATAAAGTAATAAATGAAGTATTATCCTCAAATTATAAACAAAACAAAAAAATTTTATAGTCATTGTATAATACATTTTTTTTTAAAGTTCCACAGTAAACAAAAAAAAAAAGAAAATCATTATACAGATATAACTCGCCTTACATCGGTAATTTGTTCCAGGAGAAGCAACTTAAGTCAAATTTACTTGTCACTAGACTAAACCACAAATAATCATTCCCAGTTCTGTATTTTATTTATAAATGCATTTTCAATAATAAATGATTAATAAGAATCTATTTTAAGCTTACAAACAAATAAATTTTAGTTTTTAATATAGTACAGAAAAAAAAGTAATCTAAATTTACAAATACATNGGAAATATTTTACGATAGTAAATGATTTTTGCATGATAAAATTTTTGCAATATGAATGTGCCAAATATGTGATTTTAAAAAATAAAAAGTGATTTGAATTGAAGTTATTAGTATTTTATTGCTACCTATCTGTAAAATTTCATATAAGTAATGAAATTCATTAAGATAAAAGATCCGTTAAAGATCCGCTAAAAAGTAACGGATACAGATACCCGGCACATCACTAAAACATACATATACTTTGAATGAATGAAACTGTTTAACAGCTGACATAATGTGTGTTTCATTGTTTCTATTACAATGAAATTGTCTGATAGGTGATAAGCAAATTCGTGATAATTCTCTAGGTAAACAAAGTATACATCATCCATTTCATGTAACAGGATAGTTAGAACTTCATACTGATAGTGAAAATAAAGTAATAAATGAAGTATTATCCTCAAATTATAAACAAAACAAAAAAATTTTATAGTCATTGTATAATACATTTTTTTTTAAAGTTCCACAGTAAACAAAAAAAAAAAGAAAATCATTATACAGATATAACTCGCCTTACATCGGTAATTTGTTCCAGGAGAAGCAACTTAAGTCAAATTTACTTGTCACTAGACTAAACCACAAATAATCATTCCCAGTTCTGTATTTTATTTATAAATGCATTTTCAATAATAAATGATTAATAAGAATCTATTTTAAGCTTACAAACAAATAAATTTTAGTTTTTAATATAGTACAGAAAAAAAAAGTAATCTAAATTTACAAATACATGTATGTACTGTACATACTTGTAAATATACATGTTTACAATTTAGCGATGTTTACAGTACATCATGGACTCTCTATTTGTAAATGTGGTTTGCTCTAAGACATTATAAAATAAGATGATTTTGTAAGGTTAAATAACAAATATAGTTATTAAAATTATTTTATGATAGTAGAAAATAAACTAATTTATGTTAAATTTACCAATGTCAAGTGGCACTGATGCCGCTGCCAAACAGTAGATATTGGAACCACTGTGGAAAATGCCAATATTGTGCTGTTAAAGACCGCTAAACAAGACGACAATACAGAGTCACAGATGTTTTCATATTTCGTTCTCTAAGATTTATAATGTTTATATTAACATTTACTGTAAATATGATTTTATGTGCTTTTAACACTTTTCTAGTGATATTACGACTTCAATATTTGTGGCAGACAGACGTAAAGTCAAATAAAATGACTTAAACTTGATTTTTATTTTTCCATATACAGTCAACCCCCCTATAACACGATAGATATGTTCTGTTCTTTATGAAATTGATGTTCTAAGAGTCCTTGAATACATGAGCCAATCACAGCCCGGCACATGTGTAGTTTATGGACTATGGCTGTTTGAAAGATTTTCTTCCATAAAGTTAATTGATTCTAGACTAATTTGACTCAACATATCCAAAATATGTATAATTTTTTGGGAATAATCCATATAAACTAAGCTATAAACAAAAAATTGTAGGATTACTTACTGAGTGTGCACCATTCGACGATGCCATTGCTTAAGCTTGTTTTCGTCGTGGAGCTTGTTATCGAATGGCGCTCGCGTGCTTCTTGATAAATTATTTTTTTTTTGTGAAAAATTTGCTGAACTTTGGAGACATCATTAATATAAATATAATTTTTATGGACGTTAAATAATAAATGGTTTTTAGTAGGTCCGCTGCTTGTTTAAACTCAACGGTTTGTACAACATCTGCTATTGGTCTAGATTCGACCAATCCTGTCGCGACACGAGTTGGCGATGACATTTTACCGAATTATATGAGTTTTTTTAGCGTGTTTGTACGAATGCTGTCGCAACTTTTTCGCCGTCATATACGAATCCAAACTATATGAACCCATGTTATGGGGGGTCGACTGTATTTTTTTTTTTTTTTGTGGACAAATGACGTATAATCGAGAATATGTCATTTGACTTAATTTGATACGACGTAACCCGAGGTATACCTGTACATAATTTGGAATTTTCTTCTTTTTTGACATATTTCCTTTTGAATAAAGATTTTATTGTCAGACACTATTGTGCAATCATATTACAATAAAATGAAACATAAAATGATGATATCAATTTTGTAAAAAAAATGCTCCGTATTTCTAATTTAATTATATTCCTACTCTTTTCTCTGCTATTTTATCCTTTTTTTTTTTTTAAATGAAATACTTTGTTTACAGTTGTTTATCTTTTTAAAAATTAGCACACACTTCAGTATCCAAGAAAATAATTATAATATTATGGTATCAAAACTACAAAAAACTTTAAATCCAGTAATGGACTTAAAGTACCATAATATTGTATTAATACGATAACAATATCATAATGTAAATCTCCTTAAAAAAGAGATTTGCAACATTATAGTACTGACTGTTAATATCATGGTAGTTTCATTATGGCAAAATCATATCATAATAAGTATAATATGTTATATTTTTGTTTTAGGACAAAAAAAAATTTATATTTAATCAGAACAATATTTAAATTTGATTACTAATATTGTTGGCTATATTATTTGTACTTATTTTCTTTTTATCTTAAGAAGAAATTCTTTCAACCAGTTTTTCTTTCATTATACAGGTTGAGCCACTCAACTTTTTCACCTCTAACAACATTTTACCTGTTGTTGTCATATAAACATAAATACATAAATAAATATAGGAAAAACTCTTATCTGAACTAGAAGGAACCAGAAAGCTTTCAGATAAACAAAATTTTGTATAATCAGAAAACTTATTTGTTTTTGGTTCATCAAGAACTGTGCATTTAAGTATTTTAGAATTAAATAAAATTAATACAGATTTTTCAATACAAAAATGAAAATTCCATACCTGAAAGCATTCAAATAAATGGTCCAACTGTTCTGGAGTAAAATCCCAGGCTAATTTTGCTAATAAATCATGTACATTTTTTACTATTGCTTCATGTTTTCCAGCTTGAGCCATCCAAATATCATCTAGATCTTCTAAGCTCAATGATTTCTCTTTTATTATAAATATAAAAATCGTAATGTACAGTATTCGCATATGTATTGTTTCTACTACATAAACAGGAGGAAAACTTTATGAAATTTTTTATATGTTTTGATAGATTTGTGTAAATAAGAGAAGTTTAAATCTGATATGTATATGACAATGAAAATATCCTGCAATAGACATTAATATATTTATAGACTGGCAGGTTATCAGGAAAACTTTTAAATTGCTGCAATTATATATGACTTTTTGGAATTTCTAATAAATTATGAAATATTCTATATTTTATAGCCACGAACGTAATAATAAAATGGAGTATTTTCGTGTATAAATATGAATTATGTGTTAAAATGTGTTTAATCTATAGCACTGTTGGTACACACAATTACGATTATTTGTGATCAAGTAGACTATTGATTCTGATAGATCTATTTTCCGAGGAATGATTTAAGTTCATTACTGTTTGCTTTTAACGCAATTATTAAGATTCACATAAAAAATTGTATTATAAAGTTGCAAANTTATAATTTTTTCTAATTTTTCTACATACTATAATTTAAAAATGAACAATTAACAATATATAATCATCAAAAATCATTTTATTTATATACAGTAAATTAGTTTTTAAGCAGAAAATGTTCATTTACATACTTTTTAAAACTATATAAACACTATTTAAGTCACAAAAAATACTTCATAAACTTGAATTACAGTATATAGATAATTGTTTTCATTAAAGCTAAAATAGGAAAATTTGCAATGTTTTTGGCTATCAGAAATCTTCAGGCTTAATTAAAAAAAATAATTCAAATAAAAGACACTGTTATGAAAACTTAGTCAACAATGAAACATATCTGTATTTTTGCAACATTTGATCAGTAATTAATTTATCGCTTCAAATTTATTTCAATGTTGATGCATCTTCATAACAATGTTATTCAATTTATTTTAAAATTTCTTATAATTTTTAAATGTTTGTGTAATTTTCTTTTAATAATATCTGAGCACTACTTAGTAAAATCTGGCAACCAGCTTTAACATCGATATATAAATTCTATAATTGTCACTACCTCTCAGGAAATTTTATTTTGGTTTTAAGTGTTTTTTGATTTTTAAAAAATTTTTTATATCATATTTAATACTCAGCATATGACATTATATATGCCTTTATACAACTCCACAATGGAAAGACTCTGCCATAGATTTATACCAACTCTAATGGCAAGGAAAAAAGCCCATCACAAGGAAAAACCCGATCCAGACACGACCCAATGCCTAACGAGTCATGGGAAATTTCAAGTCTTATTTTTACCGCTTTAAAAAACGCATGGACAATGTGATTGTGAAGTTAAAAGTGAGGAAGATACCAAACATTTTATGTTTCACTGCCCTAAATTCCACCAGCACAGAGCAGAATTTTTTAGGGACACCATCACAAGTGGACTAACATGGCCGAATGACAATAGTCCAAACCACCAAACATCTGAAAGTGAAACAGATGAAGATAGCAAGGATGGTTCCTGAACATATATGCTTTGTACATATAACTTTCCCCATGTTTTACATTAATTGCTCGATATTGCCTTATATAAATTGTAAACCTTAACCCTGAATACTGTATAGATTGCCGCACCATTTAGTTTATATGGCATTATATATGTGCTATTATTGGATCATGTAACTGTATTTTATTTAGTATGTTGAGGCGTTGCGGGCACACATGGAACCCATGGTCACTTCCTTCCTCTTGCTGCTTATCACCTTACCTTCAAACCTTCTCTCCGTTTCCTATTTAAACAAGCTAAGTCAGTCAGCTAAACGACCGATAGCTCTCTCACCCTCTTTTACAAATACAAATATACGTCTTTTATTAGTTAATATTAAACTAAAATATATTTTTCTTATGACTTTACTCAGGACCAGTTTTTTTTAAGGAACTGTCAACAACTGAAAAGGAGATAAGACTTAAAATGCATTCTAAAATGACAATTTAAAGTGATTAATTTTTCTATGCTCTTTTATATGCACATCCTGTATGATAAATCTTACATTTGTAGATTTAAGTACAACAATTGAATAGGACAAGAAGCTTTGAGCACATATACAAGTACAGTAGAGTCTCGAAAACTCAGCACTCGATAACCCGGCAGTCCGGATAACTCGGCCACATCCTGGCAGGGCAAAAAAATCATTAGTTAATTCATTTTCATTATAGACAGCTTTATGCCTCAAAGTATTTTTCTGAGGTCTGTCTTATCAAGTAAATTACTGTACACAGTGTATTCGTTAATTTTCATTTTCATGTAGTAAAGGCTCTATGCCTTCATAAAGGACGTACTTTTCCTTTGTTTAAGGGTATTTGGGCAGTTTATTCTCTGTTGTATTCTCAAGTAAACAATACATACAGTACAGTATTTTCTGAGGAAACGCTCATACTTATTTTTTTTAACCCCATTCCCGATAACCCAGCATTCTCACAAACTCGGCCACCCTTTGGTCCACATTAGGCCGAGTTTTCGAGACTCTACTGTATAACAAAGCCAAAATCCAGGAAATGTACAGTACCAACAATCATTGAAAAGATGGATAAATTGAAAACAGATGTCTGGTACCTGGGTAAATGTTTAAGTATAAAACTTAATATATTAATTTTACAACAGTCTTCATCATCTAACATGCAAAAACATGATGTAAGAAAAGTATTATGCAATCCACAATTAATAATCATAAATAGTACAAATTAAAAAATATAAAAAGATGCAAATTAATTACATTTTTAATCTAAATCTTCAAAAATCAAATGCTGAGAAAAACTTTAACAAATTAGCTAAAAAACTAAATACAGTCACTGCAAGTTAACAATTAAATGGAAAAAAAATCTAACCACTAATAAAATTAATAGTGTTATACCAGATTCTGTTCTTACATTTTAAAACTCTAACTCTTTAAGCACTAAAATTTTTGTTTTTCCTATGTATTTGTAGACTGATTAGTTTTTACCTCAGGATATACTTTAGTGGGGACATATCATTTAGTTTCTTCCCAGTTGTGGAACAGTTCAAATATATTTTCAGGGGATTTGCCATTAGTGAAGTTTTGTGATATTTTGTTGCTATTTTTGTAAATTTTTAAAAAATTAACATGATTTTAAATATGTTATTTTTTGCATATAATGAGAAATGTTTATTCTTTGCTTCATATTTGAAATAAATTATTTTTTTAATAATTCATCTTTTATAAATAGCAAACTATATCAGTTTATTTACTCTATGTCAAGAATTTATTTACGTTTTTATTGACTTTAGAGAGTATCAGGTGTTGTGTTCAACTGTAGGTCTTTGTTTCTTAGTGAGCTGGATATTCTGTTGTGTGGTGATTCTCTGTGCTTTTACATTTTATCGTTATTATATTATATACTAGCAGACCCACCACGCATTGTTGTGGCTCAAAATGTACCTATTATAAATGTATAACACTTCCCCCGCGGGGAGGGGGATTTTTCGAAAAATCCCTTCTTTGTGTACATTCTCTTGACGTTCCCTATTAAAACGCAATCAAAAACGCAAAAAACTGCATCTAAAATAGTATAAATAGAAGCAGAGTTCTTTACAGTAAGTCTTAATCCAGTCCATCTCCCCCCAGTGGGGGGAATTTCGACATGTATATTATATAAAAACGTGTGTATTCGAATGCAGTATTGTGTCAAAATTTCAAAGAAATCGGTAGGAACAAACAAACATTACATTTTTATTTATATAGATAGATAAAAGATGATCTGCTTTAGTTCATCATCACAGAAAAGCAAACTTAGGTCATCGTACTCGTAGTGCCATCTGTTGGATATAAAAGCCTTCACCCTAGATGATATCTTTTAATTTATATGAATGTTTAACGGAATAATATACAGCCTATGTCCACCCTGAAGTTCCATTCTAAATATTGGTGAAAGAATTTTTGAAATTGGATGAGTAGTTTCGGAGATTATCCCCCACATCCAAACTTACAAACATTACCTCTTTATAATATTAGTATAGATTTCACATCAATTCCAATATGAATCGTTGAATATATGAAAATGATGGAGCTTTTGAAAAAACTATATTTGAAAGCGATATGGATGAGGAAATTGGTGATGTAAATAATATTTGACAGTGATTTATTATTTGAGAATGGAGATGAAGATATAATGGAATCAAGTACATCTGACGAAGATGATCCAGATTTGCAATCAAAATCAGATTGTACATTGATTGATATCACTAAACTGTCTTGGACAACAAAGGTACATAATTCCAAGTTTGTCATACTTAAATTTTGAACTAATTCTGGTCCGAATCATGATCTTTCTCCAGGATCACCACATTCTCTATATTTCAAATTATTCATCATCGATGAAATGTTAGAAATTATAAAGGAAATTACAAACAAATACGCAGAATATGTTGCTCGAACTAGAGGATATCCTGATAAATTATGGGTACCTATTGCAAGTATATCTGAAATATGGGCATTTATTTCAATTATATTTCTAATGGAAATAAATAAGTTGCCTGCTATGTATATGTATTGGTCTAGTCATCCTGGACTCAAAAATAATATGATAAAAAGAATAATGACATGTGATTGTTTCTGTTGGAGAATAAAGTACTTAGATTTATCGAATAGAGAAGAGAAATTTAATCGGAATGCAAAAAGTAAAAACATTCATGTCAATGTTAAAAATAAACTGTCAAGCATGTCTTGACTCCATAACAATCCAGCAAATCGTTTTTTAATACTTTAAAAATGCTTTCGGACGCTTTAAGCGATCATCATCAGTTAACTTTGTGAATTGAACGAAGAAATTTGAAAATAAACTACGTCACTCATCATAGAAGGATTTCCATGCCGACGACAATCCGTCCGCATCCCTATGATTAATACAGCTTGTGCGCATTTGCGCTTTGTGAATTTCTAGTTTTTCCAGATGTTTCACGGCCTGCCTGGATTTTGTAGCTTTAATGATCGACGCCCGATCCCAAAAGACTTCGATATTCTGCTGCTTGGCAAAGGCCGCCAGCACCGTAGAGTCTACGTTTTTATTGACTGATTGCTTATGTTCAGCAATTCTTTTCTTTAAGTTTCTTAAGGTTGCTCCTATGTACACGAGATTGGTGTTAAATCTATGGTCTTTTAATGGTATAGAGTACACTCCTGCCATCGCGTTGCGTTCGTAACTGCCTTTATCATTTTTTA